CACACACACACACACACACACACACACACACACACACACACATAATACACGCACGCACGCACGAACGCACGCACGCACATATACACACACGCACGCACACACATAATACACGCACGCACGCACGCATGCCCATATACACACACACACGCACACACATAATACACACACGCACACACATAATACACACACGCACACACATAATACACACACGCACACACATAATACACATACGCACGCACGCACACAGGCACACAGACACACACACACACACACACACACACACACACACACACATAATACACCCGCACGCACGCACGCACATACACACACACACACACACACACATGCATGCTGCCCCGATATCAATGCTTCCTGCCTTACAGCAAGGGGTCATGTCTTACATAAATGCTTCTTACCTCACAACAATACGTCAGTGCTTCTTACTTCCACGTCAATGTTTCTTGCTTCACATTAAAGCTTCCTGCAATGCTCAAGTCTCCTATTAACGCTCTCTGTCTCACGTCAATGGTTTCTCCTTTGCCAGTCACAATCATGAGATGGACAGTAGCAAGGTGCACAAGCGATCGCCGACAGCCCAGTCGCTACACATCACCGCGTCGAGTCTCTCCCATGCCGGCGCCACGTCGCCGCTGAAGGTGTCAAAGGTTGCCGGCTACCACACCAACAACAACGTACATGCCGGCTCGCTGAAGCGGCCCACTCGCGGTTCTGTGATCGCGACTTCATCTAGCACACTCAAGAGGTACGTGTTGTATTGCTCGCTCGCTCGCCCGCGTGTATGCTTGCCACGGACAGGTACACACGCACGCACGCCTCAGGCATGCGTGCCACCAACAGATACGCGCACGCACGCACACACTCGTGCCACCGACAGATACACAATCAAGCACACACGCACAGACGCACGCATGCTTTCAACAGATACACACGCGCGCCTGCACGCACTTACACGCGCGCCTGCGCGCACTCACATGCGCGCCTGCACGCACTCACACGCGCTCACCACAGATAGATTCAAGAGCACACATCGACACTGCTGTCACGGCTACCTATTGATGGGAAACCATGGGTGCAGTGATGTGACTGATGCTTAAACCTTGTAACTAGCCACTTGCCCTACATTAAGGTTAGCTGAAGCTCACTTACTAGTATCTATCTAAGCTGAATATAATAGTGTCTAATAATTTCGGGAAATCTATCTTGTCTTTACGTCGAAAACTATTCTACCTGGCTATACATGTTTAGTGGTCTCTTGTAGTTGGAGCAGTAACTCACGTTCTCTTGTCTTGTCATGTTCTCATCAGCAGATCGTAGATTGTTATACTTGTTTCTCAAATGTGATGTTTCTTTTTCCCCTTTTTTCTTGCATTCAAGTGTTATACGCAAACATTTGACAGACTACTATGAGAAGTAATTTTTCTCGTGAATTTTGCTGACGGTTACGTTGAGTGTGAAGTTGAAAGTGAAGTTGAGTTGAAAGTGAAGTCATTACTAGTAAACATTCACTAGTAACAACTTTTATGGGCGATTTCTGGCCAAGTTACAGCGTGAGCAAAAATGAATAGTTCCTCGACTTTCAAAGAAGAATCAAAGACAGTTGGCATTTTTTATCTAAATTTTGTGTTAGCACACTATCTATTAATTTTTCTTATGAAAGGGACACTATATATATATATATTGACCTGAATATATATAAGTCACGCGAATCCGCAGGCGGGCGGGAGGTCCTGCGATATGTAGCACGCGGTCGGGAAACTAGGGGACGCCCGCTCTGCAGGCACGGCGGCATGACGTACAATCACGCACCTGTTCGTGGGGAGGCGCCTAGGTGTTCTAGGACGAAAATCCGCCAATTAGAACGAATTCGAAATGTAAGAGAGTTCGCTTTTGACCTTGATACGGGTTATAACGCGAAATCTGGGGCGACCTTCAGTAATGAGTGCCGGCATGTTACAGACATCGCCCGTTCGTCTGCTGCGTAACCTGTACATGTTTTTTATATAACAGGCACCCGCGAAAAACGAGCAGTGATGTAGTTGATGAAGATCATTCCTAGAGGCCTACCGATTAATTAAAAAAATTGTAATTCCTGTAAAACATTAGTGGACGCTCCGACAGTTGTTTACCACCCCGCCAAATGAAAAGTTTTAACCATCGACGGCTGCTGTGTTGCAGTGCGACTAACAGCATCACCGTCCGGTGTGTAGCCGCGCGCTCACTGCCGATGGCGTGTGCGCGTGCGTGCGTGAGTGGGTGTGTGTGTGTGTGTGTGTGTGTGTGCGTGTGTGTGTGTGTGTGCGCGCGCGTGTGCGTGCGTACTGGCTACTATCGCTTTCTTCCGTCATTTGTGGGTGCCACTGTGTACTCACCTGGAAGGTAATTACAGTGTAGCCGGGGTTACTCATCATGCCCACGAGCATCTTAAACCGCGCTGACTCTCCAAACTTGAACTTGAACATAGTGAATGACTCCAACACTCTGGTATTTCCATCCTTCGCTGAGCAGGTAATCGTTAGCAGCTATAATGGGCACAATGCAAGCACAAACATATATACAACTATCAGAGTTACCAATACATGCCAATAGGCACACACGTGCAATAGTATCGGGGTTTTCGCTTAGAATTGCTTGATTTGCCAATATATAGCATTTTTGATAGTATTTTATTATTGTTTTTTCAAGCTTTATATGTGTAAATTTTCTGGTTTGTTTTGTTAATTTTCACGTTACTTTTAATAATAATTTTTTAGTAATGATTTTATCGTTTTATTCATTGTAAATCAGTGCTTTTTGGCGAATCCTTTCAAGTGTTTATTCACTACCATATACCTCTAGCGCCAGAGTCCTTGCTTTTGTGAAGCTGCTCATCAAACATGCTGTCACTTCTTCCATACCACCAGGGTGAGCCACCATTTGATCTATGCTTTCCTAGCAGGAGAGATAATACGTATAAAGGACGAGCTGCGAGTTCCCATCGCACGTTAATATGACATCGAGAAAAACGGTCTTTACAATGCGCCTATACGAGTTCACCAAGTGTTCCGAGCACCACGCATGTGTATTAAAACGATAAAAAGGCACGAGGTAAACGCGTGGGGGGAAATGATACTTACGGGTACTCGCGTGGCTAGCTTCAGGCTGAGCAAGCAGTCGTGCTCATCAGTCTGAAGAGGAAAGAAAACATTATTTAGATCACGCATTGAACGAATCCCGCTCTAGTTGAGGTGACACAACAACCACGCTTGTCTGGTGACTATTCTGGTGACAAACGGGTCATGTGCCTGACACCTCAGTAGCACTCTTTACGCGAAAACGTGAAAGCAGTTTGAGTGAATAAAATAATATCTGCAAATTGTTTTGACCCACAAAAGTAACAAACCGACAGAAGGAGAAGAGGTTTGAAGGTCTTATCTGCCTGAGAATAGAATACAATCGAGAAAATATTTTATATAAAACTGTTTTATGATCGCGTAAAATCAGGTTATCTGACCGTTATGCTTCAATCTACTACATCAAACGCATTTATGAAATGCTGCACATTCTGGTTCAAACATTAACATACAATAATATCAGGAGTGAATAATAATAGATCTCTTATTATTCACTCCTGCAGCTCATTCGTGTCGACTCACTAATACGTTTTCATCATTCACATCTCGCGCGATACCGGCTTTGTCACTGCTGATTTGGTGCTCGTGCACCGGTCCGAGCATACTCGTGTAAAAATTACAGGAGCAGCGCCCCCGGGTCCGTGTCACTGTCTGTGAAAGCTACGTACGCTGCGTGTTCTACTGCGGGGATGTGCTGCTGTCACAGAACAGGTTGGAGAATCATCTCGCAATTGTTTGCGGGTCCATTGTGCAAAGATACCGGCTATACGAGATGGCAAATGCGCGTAACAAACTCATCCAGGCATTCGCAGTATATATTTGATCGGCGGTTGAGCTGTGGCCACCGATCCTCACACACACCGCTGTCATAGATCGCAGATACCGCCGGCACGGCATACAAAAATTAATGCAGTCATTTATGCCCACCAGTAATTTATATGCCATAATGGCATCGGGAATCGTATATAAATAATAGATTTACGGTGAGCAACCAGTACTGAAATTACATTAAAATAGTTAAGTGTGCATGTGTGCGTGTATGTGAATGCGTGTGTAAGCGGTCCTGCGTAGCGTGTACACACGTGTCTATTCGTCTAGGCCCTACGGCTACATATCTTATTTTAACTACCAGTTTGTCGACTAACTTGCTGCATGGTTATTAGGTGGTCCGACCAGAGCATGTCGATTCAGACAATAACCCTTTCCCTGCTCTATAAATCTCAGCAAATCGTCAAAGCTACTACAGCCAGTATGAGATCGAGCAAAGGATCGTGTTTTAAGCCAAAAACCAGCAGTAACATTTGCCGTCGCAAAGAGTAAGACCGCACAACATCAACAAATATTACTCCATCGGCATAGCCGTCCCATTTTCCCACACCCCAGCAATTATGTCGCAAAACTTGCTGCGTGTCGGACAATAAGAGAGCATCACAAATGGCAGCCTGTCGTCGCCGTAGACGAGGTGAGAGACCTCCCCCACACGCCGTGGCCGACAACATCGACAACAGCGGCGGCGGCGGCGGCGGCGGCGGCGGCGCTCTTGTTATGCTTCAAAAATCATTTCTGCTTTTATCGCTGAAATTGGCGCGCGTTATCTCGTCTGCTAACAGCCGCGGCGCAAATCTGTAAATCTGCGGGGAAGCGCGCAGGTTGGAGGCGGGTGACGTGTGAGGGAACAGACGCGGCTGTGTGCGCGCCGCGCCAACCCTAAGTGCACCGCCACAATGCCACCATGTCGCCATCTCACGCTCGCGGTGACGTTTCACGGTCGACTCTACACAGGGACCGTCATCTGCCGCTCTCATACTCTCCCTTCTCTCTCTCTCTCTCTCTTTCTCTCTCTCTCTCTCTCTCTCTCTCTCTCTCTCTCTCTCTCTCTCTCTCTCTCTCTCTCT